GTATGGTTTAAGGAGATGTGTACATGTGCCAAGTTGACAAGGGGTGGACTGTGATGGTTAAGATTGTGTGTCAACTTGGCTGGGCCATGATCCTCAGTGTTTAAATGTGATCACTCCCATGATTGAATATACTGTGAGTAGCCCATCAGATGAAAGGGAGTTCCCTTGGGGGTGTGGCCTGCATCTGAACATAAGCAGACGTTCTGGCTTTTTGCTCACTCTGGATCCTGCGGCTGCCTCCTGTCATCTCATCTCCGGTTCTTGGGACTTGAGCTGTCAGCTTATCTGCTGAACTTGGGATTCGTTGATTTTCACAGCCCATGAGCGGGAGCCCTGCTCTCTGACCTGCCAATCTTGGGCTCGCCAGCTTCTCCAGCTACGTGACTTGGGAGAGGCCTCTACCCTGATCCACGGACTTGGGATGTTCTAGCCTCTACAATCGTATGAGCTGTTTCCTTGATATAAATCTCTCTATATATATTTGTACGCTTTACTGGTTTTGCTTCTCTAGAGAACCCAGCCTAAGACAACATCCAATGTTACTGTTTTAAAAAAAGCCATATATGATTTTTTTTTTTGTTTGGATTGTATTATTCCAAAAGAACTAAGTTAGGATATTTGTGTTTGATCAAAATGGTAATTATAACAGTCAGTATATGAATTAATGGACTAACAATGAGAAAGAGAGAGGTGTATCTGTTACGTAAGTATATCGGCCACTCTGGATACTGAAGAGAGTAGTAACCTAAGAATCAAACATAGAATATTGTGTTAGACATTGTTTCTTATAATGCAGTGATATAATTCACATAGCTCTTAATGAAACAATTTAAGATTTATATACATACGTTTGACTTTGTCTCGCTCTTGGTTAGCTGTAAAGTCAGGGAAAAGGAAAAAAAAATTAAAAGAGTGGATAATGGTGAAGCTTTTGTTTTATTAAAAAAACCTGTTTCTATAATCATTAACACCTATTTTGGCTTTATTGCAGTGATTTTCAGAGGTTAATTGTTAATGTATTATTTTCATGATTTTTTTGTACTACCTGTACTAAATTTTTTTTTTTTATCAAATTGCTTTTTATATAATGGAAACCATATAAACCGGTTGCTGTCATTTCCAACTCATGGTGACCCTTGTGTGTCAGAACTGAGCTACATAGGGTTTTCAATGGCTGATTTTTCAGAAGTAGATTGCCAGGCCTTTCTTCCGAGGCTCAAACATCCAACCTTTTGATTAGCATCCGAGCATGTAAACCTTTTGCACCACCTAGGGACTCCAAAGGAAACACTATTACTGCTACTTATGGAAAATCATTTTACATAACTACAAGACAAAAAAAAAAAACTAACTTGCCGTCGAGTCGATTCTGACTCATGTGACCCTATAGGACAGAGTAGAACTGGTTTACAAGGAGCACTGGTGGATTCGAACTGCCAACCTTTTGGTTAGCACCTGAACTCTTAACCACTACGCCACTAGGGTGGCTGCTAACCAAAAAGTCAGCAGTTCAAATCCACCAGCCTCTCCTTGGAAACCCTATGGGGAAGTTCTACTCTGCCCTATAGGGTCACTATGAGTTGGAATTGACTCGATGGCAGTGTGGTTTTTTTTTTTAATTCATAATTATTCCTTTCTTTATTTGAGCTTTATTCAGATTTTGACATTCAGAGCACTGGGAAGAAATAAACTCCACATCTTCTTGATGTTTTCTTTTATTAAATGGTCTGCCAGCCCTGTTCCACATCAGTTCTGTGTCAGCTGTTGGATGCTTTTGGTGGATCCCATCAAAGAGCTGGTCCTCTGCGCACTCTTTGTCTACACTGAATTACCATGAAGCTACTGCTCAAACTTTTCTTGGCCAAAAAAAAAAAAAGAGTTGCTGTCAAATTGATTCTGATTTTTGGTGACCCATGTGTTTCAAAGTAGAACTGTACTCCTTAGAGTTTTCAAGGGCTGTGATCTTTCAGTAGATCACCAGGTCTTTCTTCTAAGGCTCCTCTGGGTGGATTCAAATTGCAGACCTTTCAGTTAGTAGCCGAGCACTTAACCATTTGTTCTGATGTCCTAGTTATATTTTTTCTTGTATGTATATCTTAAAAATGGTAGATACTCAACTACTAAAACAAATGTACCTCCATGTACTACCTAAACTCACTTTTATGTGTCATTGGTATGCCCGGCACATTTTAAGAAACAGCCTTGATTTGGCTTTCATGGGTATTTATTGAACTAACAACAGTATCTAGAAAACCACGAAGGAATTTTTTCCCCCAATCATTGCTGTAATTTGCCCGAGTTGGAGTCTGTTAGAAAACAGCTTTTATCCTCTAATCCTTATCCTGTCAGAGTTCATGATAAAAGGTAAGAGAAGCTCTTCTGAAGTCTTTTAAATTGCAATTTCTATCATTTATTCAGTATTAGTGCAAAAAAACCAGAAAGCTTTAAAATAAGCCTACATTTATGTAAAACAGAAACTACATAAATCTAGCTTTGTGACTAAGAAATTAGTGACAGGATCAACCTGGAGGATGTTGAGAAGCCATCTAAAGTAAATGAGTGATGGGTTTCAGAAAATCTTTGTAAATACCATGCAAGTTAGCTTGTGTTTTCCCTTCATCTCTCTTAAGAGTCCAGAGGTTTTTTTATAATTGGACTATAGCTTTAATCTTCTGGATGTTATCAGAAAAGATTAGAGACCACCTCAAGGCAGATATCCAAAGATCAAAAGTTAAAGCTCCAGCAGTTTCCTTCTTGTTACTGTCATTGTGGTGGTGGTGTGGTGGTGGCACTAATTACCTAGGTTTTTAAAGGGAATGTCAGATTTTTCCAGGAAACAGGCACTCACATAGTACGTGCTTATTTGCTAGCCACTGAAGCACTGAACTAGATACTCTGGATACATAGGTGAATAAGCTAAGCATAATTCCTGCCCATTTGGAATTTAGATCCATTGGGGGAAGACAGACAACAGTGGCAACAATTAAATTACCCCCTAAATTATTTAAAATACTCATCTCAGTTTTCATCACTGGTTGTAAAGGAGTGTCATGAGGATTGCTCATGGGCATAAAAACATGTCACCTAAAAGTTTGGGAATAAAGAACACACCAAGAGTAAACTCCATGTTTGGGATTACAGGGAGCATGGATTTGGTATAATAGCTAATATTTATTGAGCACTACTATATGCCAGGCCCTCATTCTAAGCATGAATATTTCATGTTTTTTTTTTTAATTGAATTGTTTCACCAAACCTGACAGTGAAGAGGTACTATCATCCACATTTAACTGTTGAGGAAACAGGTCCAGAAAGTTACTGTGGGTAACAACAGTTAATGGTAGAACTGGATACTGAAGTTAGGTATCTTAGTTCTAAAATCTATGCTTTCAACCCCTGTGTTATACTGCCAAACTTGGGGGTGGGGGTCAGGGAACAATATGCTTTGTACTGCTGTAGCCACATGAAAGGAAAAACTAATATATTGAGTGCGTAAGAAAATATTGGTTGCATTGTGGCTACATGCCAGTGATTTAACAAGATTGACAGTAAAATAAAGAATGGTTGAACTGGGAGAAAAATGACTGGCTCAGAAAGCCAGGCTAAAAAGTGCTGCTATGCCTGGAGTGAAAATGAGAATTCAGTGTTTGAAATAGGGAGGAAAGGAACCAGGCAATTTGATAGAATTTTACAGTTTTAGAGCGGGAATGGACCTTAGATAACATCTAAGCTGTGGAACACCTTCTCCAAACAAAATTTCAGGCAGTGAAACATGGTCCGCAGTATCCTCCCTCTACTCTTATCTGGGCACCCCACCCCAGCCCTGCAGGCTTCAATTACATCGGTAGTTTTTTTCTTTTTTAGCCTACCACAGAGTTTGTCCAAACACATGTCATTCTTGTGGCAGGCACTGCAAGTGGCTCCTTTCTTATATGGCCAAGTTGGGTAATTTCCTCTGTAAAGTAGAAAGTTGTCCATTAGGAGAGTTTTTTTTTTTTTCCCCCAGTTCCAATTTACTATGAATCCTTGACTAATCCAGAACAATAGTAGGATGGAAGTTGAAAGATTCAGAGGATGGGTAAGAAGAGAGGGAAACAGAAAAGAAGGCTGCTAACATTTGCAGAGGAGTTCGTTCTATGTGTTAATAATATTTGCAGAGTTCGTTCTATGTGCTAAGGTCTTAATCTACATCATTTTATTTAATGCTTATGACAACCCTGGGAGGAAGTTATTTTTATTTCTGTTCAAAGATAAGGAAACTAAGGCTCTAAGAGATTAAGTAATCCGTGATGTAGTGATGTGTACTTCTCTACTAAGTATTAAATAAGATCTAGTAGGGGGTCTGATAATTGCAGTAATTTGAAAGTAGTGATGAACATAAACTCTTGAGATACCTGCAGAAACTGGAATGTGATGTGAAAATATATTTACAGAGACACAGGTAAGAAGTACTGCTAATACAAAGTCACAGGTATTGTGAATACAACTGTGGAGTGTTGACTTCATTCATAATGGAAGGAAGTGTTATTTTCAGTGGAGATTAGTGAAAATAAAAATGGAACATTAGTTCATGGACTCTTCTTCCCCCAACACTATTAACTTCAAAGTTAAGAACTCCCCCTGTAGGGGTGTTACTTTATATCATTAATTCCTCATTTCTAACCCCAAATATATTTTCTAATCTTGTTTGGCTCCTAATTAATTTCAAAATTAAATTTACCTTTATGCTCACCCTACACCATGGAAAATAGTCAAAAGAATATAGTGGACATTCTGACAGCAATTTCAGGAGATGAGTTCCAAAACAACATTAATCATTAGAGTATCTTTTATTGTTAAGATGCACAACACTCATTAAGTGGTTTAAATTCTAGAATGCTTGTTTAAAAAATTATGCTACTTCGTTCTCTGTTTAATTGTGTGTCCCAAATTCTAAGTGAGAAGAAAAAAATTAAAATTGCTAATTTAAAAACCAAGTCAGTTGTGAGTGCTAAAAGAATGGCGGAATTCATCTCAGGAAAAACATGTTACTAAAGAGGCCTAGATTTGTCTGTATGGGAGTGATTAAGGCAAAACCCACTAAAACCAAACCCAGTGCCACTGGGTCGACTCTGACTTGCAGCAACCCTACAGTTCAGAGTAGAACTGCCCCATAGGGTTTCCAAGGAGTGCCTGGTGGATTCCAAGTGCCGACCTTTTGGTTAGCAGCTGTAGCTCTTAACCACTACGCCCCCAGGGTTTCCAATTAAGGCAAAGGGACCTAAAATACTCTGTTCGACAAAGAAGCAGGAAGTTCTAGTGTTTGCCCTAGTGGCCTGAGATAGAGGTTTTGGGGCCTTGGGCCCTGGGAAGAGAGAAGACAGATCTTTAAAGAAAGCGATGTGAAAAGAATCAGGGTCCCAAGGCGGTGATGGCCAAAGCACATCGGGTACTGTATTGTCAGACAGTCCAGGTTGCTATTTCCTGCCCTGTGCTGTAATCTTCTCCTCACCATACACACCGTAGCATTGCTAAGTGCTGCCCAAGGGAATGAAGAAGAGAGTTATGTCAGAGGTTTTGGATAATGCAGATCAGAGAGGCCTGGAGCAGCCAGGAGGAGAGGTGTCAAAACAGCCACAGGCAATGGAAACTTCCACTGAGTGTAAGACTCCAGAGCTTGAGTGACAGGTGACTGGAGAATTAAGCACCCCATACCCCTGGATTCTCAGAAATATAGAGGAGGGCACATATAATTCACAAAAAAAGAAATGTAAATAGACAATCAGGTGAAAAAAAAGTTTATATTCAGTAGAAATCAAAGAGTTGTAAAAGAAAACAGATGAACTACCATTTGCTATCCAATTTAAAAATTATAATACCCAGTGCTGATGAGAAATTATAAGTTGATATAATCATCCTGTAAGGTTATTTGGCAACACATATTTAAAGGAAAAAAAAAAAACCCTTAAATATGATCATCCTCGTTACCCAGAAGTATTACTTTTAGGAATTGTAAGGAAATAGAAGTGACCAAAGGCGTATATGCAAAGTTGTTCATCATATGTTTAAAGAAAATACAGGAACAATCTAAATTCTTCAATAGATGGACTTTGGTATTACCATAAGAGCACAGACGCTGGAGCCTGACAGTCCAGGTCAAAGCCCAGCTGTGACAATTACTAACAGGGAGACCTTGGGCAGTTCACTTTCCCCTTCTGTGCCTCAGTTTTCTCATCTGCAAAACAAGGGTGATAGTAGTACCTACCTCATGGACTTTTAATGGAGATTGTTGTTGTTGATTGCCATTGCATGATCTCCAACTCATGGCAACCCCATGTACCACAGAACAAAACATTGCCTGGTCCTGTGCCATTTTCACAATCAGTGGTATGCTCAAATCTGTTGTGGGCACTGTATATTTTGAGTGCCTTTAACCTTGGATGCTCATCTTCCTGGACTATATCAGACAATATTCTGTCGTGATCCATAGGGTTTTCACTGGTTAATTTCAGAAGTAGATCACCAGGCCTTTCTTCCTAGTCTTAGCCTGGAAATTGCTGAAACTTGTCTACTGGTAGCATAGCTTCTAGCATCATAGCAACACACAAGCCACCACAGTACAACAAACTGGCAGACACAGTAGTAATGAAGATCAAATAAGCTAATACATGTGAAGCATCAAGGACAGTACTTGGTACATAGTAAACATTATATAAGCATTATCTATCATTGTTACTATTATTATTGAAATCCTTTAAAAATCTAATGACAGAAAATGTTCATGGTATAATTTTAAGTAAAAATTAGAATGTATTTACATACAGTATGATCTCAGTTCTCTAAACGTGTATGATGTATATGCATGAATACATAAGTTTAAAGGAAGTGAGGAGTCACATGTCACCCCCATTTTCCAAAGGAAAAAAACCATTTCAGAAACATAGAACTGTTCAAAAGTAAATGAAATAAGTCATATAAATTGAGGAATTCAATTCATAGTTTTTGTTTTATTTTGAAAATCATGTAAAAATTTGCAAGATTTTAACAAACCAATAAATAAAAAGTAACATCAGTCTTCCCATCTTGTGGCACTGTTACTACATCCAGTTAATCTATGTCTCTGACAAATATTTTAGTCTACTACTCTTAAAAATGTGTGTGTACGTGTGTGTATACCTAGGTAGTGTATATAAAGTACACAGACATACACACACACACACACACAACAAATGTACCAGAATGTTAATAGAGTCAATATCTCTAGGCAGAGAATAAAGGAGGATATTAATTTTCTTCTTTACATTTTCTTTTATTATCCAGATTGTCTACAATTAAGATAAATAATTTTATAAGGAATTTTTTTTTTTTAGAAAAGACTTACGCTGGTCCATAGTTGCATATAAAATGTGCTCCAGCAGAAAGAGTTTCAAAGCCAGAAACTTTAGGACAAAATTGTACTGCACAGCCAACTTTATAACTATTTGCCCAAACAACCTGAAAGAAAGTAAAGATTTTTAACAGAGATAATAAAATATATATTTGAGTATGATTAAGCCTACATAACCATGGTGAGGTACATTAAATAAACAATAAGAGAATTTTGATAGTGCAGTGAAGAAATAGAACAGGGTAATGCGATTGAAAGTGACTGATGAGGAAGGGGGGCTGCTTTAACGTGGGTGTTCAGTGAAGACATCTCTAAGGAGGAGGTATTTGAGCTCAGATGGGAGCCATGAGGAGGCATCAGTGATGGAGGAAGAGCATCCATGCAGAGGGAATACCACGGGCATAGGCCCTGAGATGGAATTTTCTTGGCATGTTAGAGTGACAGAAGGTAGTAGAGCTGGGATCTGATGAGTTGGCGAGAGTTGCAGGTGATAAAGTCAGAGGCAGAGGACAGATCATGGAGAAACTTGTAGGTGAGTGATGTGATAAGTTCTTTCTTCGCGTTTCACTTTAGCTATTAAGAGAGAAGGAGGTCCCTGGGTATGGAAAACAGTTTGCACTCGATTACTAACCTAAAGATTGGCAGTTTGAACCCACCCGGTGGCACCACAGAAGAAAAGCCTGGTGATCTGCTTTCATAAAGATTGTAGCCAAGATAACCCTATGAAGCAATTCTACTCTGTAACACATGGGGTCACCATGAGTTGGAATCGACTCAACAGCAATGGTTTCTTTTCTTCTTATTTTTATTAAGAGATAAATGGACTGAGACACAAGGGAAGAAAGAGGTAAGCAATTTTGGAGGCTGTTTCAATAGTACAAGAAAGAGAGATGGTGACTAGGGTGATGGCAGTGGAGTTCTTGAGAATTGATCGGGTTCATGATATAGTTTAGAGATAAAGCTGAAAGGATTTGCTTTTGTTTTGGGTGTGGGGTGAGATACAAAGTGTAACTCAGATTTAGGGCCTGAGCAATATCTACTGAGATGGGGAAAACCAGGGAAGGAGGGTGGGTGGGAGCATACGTAAGGGGTTCTGTTAGGACATGTTAATTCTGAAATGTCTATTAGTCATTTACCACCACCTATCTATCAGTTTGTCATACTTCGGTGGCTTGTGTGTTGTTTTGATGCTAGAAGCTATGTCACTGATATTTCAGCTACCAGCAAGGTTACTCATGATGGACAAGTTTCAGCTGAGCTGACAGACTAAGACAGACTAGGAAGAAAGGCCTGGGAATCTACTTCCAAAACTTAGCCAATGAAAACTCAACTTGTTTTGTTGGACATGTCATCAGGAGGGCTCAATTGCTGGAGAAGGACATCATGTTTGGTGAAGTAAAGGGCCAGTGAAGGCAAGGGAGGCCTTCAGTGAGATGGATTGGCCCAATAGTCGCAACAGTGGACCCAAACATACCAGCAATTGTGAAAATGATAGAAGACAGGGCAAGGCTTCATTCTGCTGTATATAAGATCGCTATGAGTCACAGTTGACTTGACCACAGGTATCTATTTATCTATCTATTAGACATCCAAGTGAAGATTGACGTGGCATGGGAATCTTTTCTGAGGAAGTGAGGTTGAGCTGGAGCTGGAGTGAGCTGGTCTGAGAGCCACGAGAAGTCTTCTGGAAGAGGGCAACACCTTGTGTGAACCCAAGGTGGGAAAGATGACAACTCACTCACAGAGCTGAAATGAGACCAGTGCAGCTGCAGAAAAATATCAGGTTTACTTTTTTAAATTAGTAAGTCATGGCTTGGGGTTGGGGTGCTGAGGATGGAAGCCAAGCTCCTCCAAGGTTAAAGGTGGGGTGGGAGGTGGTGGCGGGGTTGCCAGGGATGGGGTAGGCAAGCATCAGGGAAGACTGCTGCTCTTTGCAGACTTCCCTGCTCCGTGGTTTGTCAGTGGGTGGATTTGAGAAGGCAGCTACTGGCTCCCACGGCTCGGAGGAGGCGCACTGCTCTCCTTTAGCAGGGGACGACCTTCCTCCAGACTGGTGCTATAAACCAGCTGTTCCCCTAGGACGTTTCCCTGCACGTCTCACTCCCAGGCCTCCCCTACAGGGAACTCTAGTCTGGGCAGGTCAGGGAAGTGGCTTAGGGCTTTATCTTGCTGAGAGAGCCTTTAAAACACCAGTTGCTGTCAGTCAACTCCGACTCATGGTGACCCAAACGCATGATGACCCCGACTCATGGCGACCCTATGTGTGTCAGAGTAGAACTGTGCTTCATAGGATTTTCAGTGGCTGATCTTTCAGAAGTAGATGGCCAGGCTTTTCTTCCAAGGCACCTCTGGGTGGACTTGAACCACCAGCCTTTCAGTCAGCAGAGAGTACCTCAACTCTTTCCACCACCCAGGGACTCTGAGAATTTACATGTGCCGGGTAAAGTGTTATGCACTTTACATACAATATCATGTTTAACCCTCACACAACTCAATAAATCGGTGTTTTTGTCCCTATTTTATAGATGAGAGATTGGAACCTAATTCTGCCTGACCACAAAGTAGGACACTGGGAGGACACTGCATGCCCTGAGCAAGATGCCTTCAGAGTGTTTTCCCTTTTAGCAAGCCCTCCAGAGCCAAGAACTCTAAACATTTCCAACAAAAGCATTGCATCTGGGGAACCCAGAGGGGACATCTTTCTCCCTTCTCACTGACAACCCCAGTTCTCCATCCCCTTGCAATTCTCAGTGTGAGTCCGTCCATCTGGCTCATTATCTGGACTGTGGTAACACTGCAACATAGATAAAGTTAGCTCGAGAAATCGTGACACTTGTCACACTTCCATTGAATCTGTGGGAGTGCAAAAAAAAAAAATTTCAAGCAGAAAACAGAAAACAAATGAAAATCAATATTGCCATCTAGTGGGGAGGTCTAGCACTACCAAACCCAAGTCATCTGCTACACCAGCCCAGATATTCCCAAAATTTACAAAGCTGAACTGTCAGCAACAAAATATCTAATTTGTTTAATCTGTGATATTCATATGCAAATATTTTTCCTCAATGCAAGTTTGTCTCCAGTGAAGACAGAGCTAAAGCATTGATTTAATCCATCCAGAAATACCATACCTTTTATGAGGAGATAGTGGATCTGAGTCCACTGTCTTTACTCTGTACAACCATACATAATGGGCTAAAATCTGCAAATAGCTTGCTTTTCAGTAAGAGATGGGGGTAAGTAGGATGTTACAATACCCACTTGAGGTAACTTTCTGGAATGTATTTAAAATGACAACTAACCTGTTGCCATCTAGTCGATTCCAAATCACAGCGACCCTATAGGACAGAGTAGAACTGCCCCATAGGGTTTCCAAGGAGCGGCTGGCGGGTAGATTCAAACTGTCAGGCTTTTGGTTAGCAGCCATAGCTCTTATGCCACTGTGCCACCAGGGCTTCAGAATGGCAACTGAGTAGTCTTAAATCCTCCAAGATTTCTTGCAAGTAAGAAAACAGAGAGTCAAGCTATCAGAGCTTTCTTCCAGTGTAAGTGCTGGAAAACCAGCTTATCAAAGGGAACCAATCTTTGTTCAATGCCTATAAATACTAGTACTCTTATGGACAGTTTACATCCATTATACTATTTAATTCTTACAATATCCCTGATACCTGCATGCCAGCTCTTACCAGCTAAATGACATTGGGAAAATAACTTCTTTTTCTCTCTCAGCCTGTTTGTTCCTCTATGGATAATAGCACCTCTCTAAACACCAAAAAAACAAAAAACAAAAAATAAAAACCCAAACCCATTGCCATCAAGTCGATTCTGACTCATAGCGACCCTATAGGACAGAGTAGAACTGCCCCATAGGGTTTCAAAGGAGCGGCTGGTGGATTTGAACTACCAACCTTTTTGGCTAGCCACAGAGCTCGTAACCACTCTGTCACCAGGGCTCCCTCTAAACACCACACTCACTTAAAAAGTGGTTGCTGCTGCTGCTGCTGCATCTCCCTATACCCATCCTTCCATCGTCTGAAGTGGGCAAAGAAGGCAGTGATCTCTTAAATAGAACAGGTCAGAATCTCGCAGCTGGAGCTCTGACATCTGTATGCAAAGCACTGGTTTTTAGAAAATGGATTTTCTCATGCCCAAATATTAGTTCTCCTTTTTTCCCCTGGATATAAGAGGAAAATCTACATGTAAGCTCAGTGAATTTGGGACAACCATCTCTGATATCTCAAGATTTTTCCTTTTGTTTTGACTCCCTGGAAAGATGGACTTGGAATGTCTTAACTTGTATACATGAGCATTAGGAGTCTGTCGTCAATTTAATAGTCTTCTCTATATTTGGCATCCTGAGCTACTTGCCATTCCTCTGAAGTACCAGGCTCATTTGTACACATTGCACACACTGCACGCCTTGTGTAAGTTGTTAACTTCACCTGGAATTCTCTTCCTTTTCTTTTCATTTGACAAACTCTCATTCAGTTTTCAAGAACCAACTCCTGTGTCTGCTGCCGTGTGAAGACTTGCACATTGATTGGTCCCAATTGGTTGTTGTATTGTGCTCATGTGGCACTCTGTCTGTTTCTCTGAGGTGCATTTGCCATGCACTTTTACACATCTGTCTCTCCCAAAAGAAGGTCAACTCCTAACGGCCAACGACCATCCCTGGCTGGATGCCTCCTTCTTTGCCTCACTCCCCATTTCCCTCATCTCTCTTCCCTGGGATTATGCTCCTCAATAAAGTGTTAGCACATAAGTTGTTGTCTCAGACTGTTTTCCTTTTTTTTATTGTTGTACTTTAAGTGAAAGTTTACAATTCAAGTTAGTCTCTTATACAAAAATCTATACATACATTGTTATGTGACCCTAATTGCTCTCCCTATACTGTGACAGCACACTCCTCTTTCCACGCCGGATTTGCCGTGTCCATTCATCCAGCTCTTGACCCTCTCTGCCTTCTCATCTCACCTCTGGACAGGAGCTGCCCATTAAATCTCATGTATCTACTTGACCTAAGAAGCATACTCTTCACAAGTATCATTTTATGTCCTATAGTCCAGTCTAATCTTTGTCTGAAGGGTTGGCCTTGGAAATTGTTTTA